CTATCCATTACCAAACCGTAACCGTCGTAAAATCAATCGACCTCCACTTTCCAAAACCCTCATCGCCCACATGCACTCTTCTATAGCCCGCTGATCCGACCCATCCCTTACCAGTGGCGGAAAAAACAACCAAAACCCCGTCAACACCAGAAATCCCAAAGTCATGGCCGCCGACACAACCGGATTCACCCTCCAGCCCTCGCCGGCGTTTCGTTTCGCCACCCTCTTTACCCGCGTTTCCACCGCCGTACACACTCCGTGAAGCACAAAGAAGCACGAAAGCTCCCCTGTCGGCAGCGCTAATGTGATATAATAGGCCATAAGCTCGTGCATCAAGCCGGAGACAAGGAACGTAGCCATGACGCCAGCAGCCGAGCCCCAGCGCGCACGCACGGGGCCGTACACGGATGGCCGTAGGATTGCAGTGACCATAAGGTTCCATCGCCGTCCCCAGAAATCTTGCAGAGAGGTGGAGAGGTAAGGAGCGTTGAATTGGGGCTCGAGATCGAAGCCAAGCAGGCTGCCGGCGGGAAAAGCCGCAGCGGCGAGTACGATATCGAGTACGAGGTAAATGTGGAGGCAGAAGATGGTGAGGAGGAGATAATGCGGAAATCTATCGCGGTAGTAGTACAGTGGGATGAGGAGGGAGAGGAGGATGGCTTTGATGGCGGTGGGAATGAGGTGCGGGGGTTTGGGCTTGGGGGAGGGAGAAATCGGTCGGATCTTGACGGGAAGAACGGCGATGGAGAGGAACGTGATGAAAGGGAGAGAAGGGGAGAGGGGTCCGGAATCGAAGGATAGAAGAAGGAGTTTGAAGACGGCGAGCCAGGCGAGGAAGAAGGCTGAGATGGCTCGGAGGTGAAGAGAGGAGAAGGAGAGGGGGAGGAAGAAGAGTGGGGGGATGGTTGGGAGGAGGGCTAATAGACGGCGGTGGCCGGGAGGGATATGGGAGGCTGCGAGGCGGGCGTACGCTACTAGGGTTGCTGCTGCCGCGAAGACGATGACGAGAGCTTCGATTTCGCCGAACATTCTTCCGGCTTTTGGAATGAGCGACTTCAGCAGCGATTTTAGCTAGT